TTCACAGTTTTTTACTATTCTATAAACGTACTAGCGTTCAAGTGGCCCTCAAATGCAACCTTAAAAAGGGTAGTAGTCTTCTTAGTTGTGTATAGTTGAACGAAAGCTTTGTTAGTGCATTTGTCCAAAACAACTACACGACTACCTACACAGAGGCGCTGCTTCATTATCAATAATCGTGACTCGTTAAAGTTTTCAAATACAAAAAATTGAAGAAAAGTTGAAGTTGATAATAAAATCAGTCAGAAGGTGGGTGGTCATCAACTTGTTCGAACGGTCTTTTCAAAGCGGTTGCTTGTGCAGGCAATGGCAGGTGCATTGATACGTCGTGACCTGAAGAGTTGTATTAGCATTCACCGCAGAATAGTCGATGTTCAAGCGAATCCCGTGACGACTGGTGGCGGTGCCTCGCTGGTCACCCTTCTTCCTTAATAGCGAAAGCTTTGTGAAGTTCGATCTGTTTGTTACACAATCGGGTCGAAGTAGGTCCGAGATGAGAAATGTTTTTAGTCTTGTTATGAAGAACGGTAGACACGTAGAGATAATGCACCACTAATTGTTTTGATAGGTCGATTAACTCGCATTGGGCCTGGATAACCTACTTAAGACACGACAGGGCAACTTCTCAGATTCACTGATGAACAGAGTCAAAAACGATAATGTTATTACTGAGGTGGTCATCGTGTTGGGGTAGTGCATGTGATAGAAAACGGGCGACACGCTCGATTTAAAGAACCTAGCTAATAGTAACTTGTTGATAAATTTCGCCTCAGCATATTGCTATAGAAAATCTCAGATTGATTCAGGGATCGATTCACAGCATATTCTTCATTCATCAGTATTGATTCAGTGATGCGCAGGCAATATGCTATATCAGCCCTACGTAGATTAGTGCGACAAAAAGCTGTCCTTTGTACAAAATAGAATACATTTCTGTGACCGATCGGAATAATCATAATCTTTATCTTATCTATGTCATATCCTGAGTGCTCTAATATTTGCCTATAAGGATGTAATGCATATTTACGTCAGCAAATGCCGCCTTCAAGATATAGCGCACATCATTTTATTTCACCATTTAAATTCGCTAACGGTATTATTATAAGTAGATTCCCTTAACATTAGATGAGTCAGTCAGCAGACAACAATCCGCTTACAACAAAAAATCCTCACATGCAGCCTGCGTACGTGCACTGCAATCCAGTATCTGCGTACCTTTTCCTTTTGTCGTACATCTTATCCAGAAATATGCTCTTTTTTTTTTTTTTTTTTTTAATCGTATCATTCTATGCGGAAAGATGCAATGGATTGTCACGATTTTCTTCAATTGAATTCTGTTTTTTTGCCTCACTGCAAAGAGCTACCATGATGCTGCCTGCAGTGTCATTAATTTCGTTGGCCAGTTGTACGCTGTCCGGTTGACTAATGGATCGAGTAGTCTATGCATTGATTATCCCGAGGCGAAAATGAAAAGTGAAATAAATTGATGCCATCCAACGTTCTTTCTAGCGGCAAACGATATCGGCGAGCCGATCGAAGTGAGAGTGACGACTTCCCTGTGCAGCAGCCCCGACAGGATCGTCGACCGGAAGTGATCCAAAAAAAAAAATAGAATCCTCGGTTGGTAACACCGTCACAGGACCAACCGTTAATACTAGCTCCGCTGTTGATAGTAATGCTGAGGCTACGGAGCGGTGAAAGCAAGATGGCAGACAGCCCCAGAATGTCGTCAACAACAACAGCGACAAGAAATGCTCAGCTAAATGCGTTGACTCCGATTGAGACCGTGGGCACTCTTCGGAAATGCGATCAGACCAGACCCTAATTCACCAAGAGCTGGAATAAATAGTGCAAAGTAGATTCAGAAGCTGACGAGTGCCGCTGCTGCTGTTCTTCGTGAAGATGGGCGACGAGGAATGGAATAATGCTGGTGTCTCGCGATATATCGACGTTTTTACGTTGACGTTAATAGTTTGATTAACGTCTTGCCATTGTGGTTATAATTGCCAATGCCGTTGCTAGTATAATAATCATTTGGGACAGAATCAAGGACAGCTGTATATGCATGAATCCCTGTAGTAGATGTCAGATCATTCGAAGATAAGATACAGGTAATGGTGGCAGAAGGGATAAACACAACAACGGCGACAGCGAAAATGATAATAGCAAAACAATAAAAATCGGTATTCGGTACGGAGAAAGAGTATAGGGCTAGAAACAATTGATGAGCCACAGAGAACGTCTAATGTGGTATCTATATTCATTTCAATTGGAATTATTTGTTTTCCATTATCAGGAATCATATGTACTATGACAACCTAAGACGGATGCTTAGAAACATACCCATTTTGTTCTGGTTTATATATGGTTAATACGTCACAGATAGAGCCGATAGTAGACACTTCATGTACCCAACGATGACACGCAGTACACGCCTCTACTTACTTCATGTTTGGCAAGTGATCCTGGGCAGAGTGAAACGCGGAACAGTTGATTCATAGCCACATAAATTCGTGTTACTCAGTACGAATGATCGCCGGCCAATAGCCTCATTGACAGTGTCCGTTGCGTACACTAAAATTGAAAACGTTTTCCACAGCCGTTGTGATTACTTTATAACAACTTAATGACTAGGATGTTTAATCGTCCGACGGACTGCGAAGCAGCATCAGCGACCTTCAGAACGAATAGCCTCCGTTATTCATTGAACAGTCGCGCTAAGGTGATTTAAAGTTTTTGTCCATGGCATCTTCGCCTTGCCATAACATCTTGTTAGAGTCACTGTTTTTTACATCAGTTGGGCTTCATATAACATACGTCCAGCACTATGTAAGTTCGTTGCGTTTAATTAGTAAATACCAACAAATAGCGACAGTTCAGAGATGAGCCGATATAAATCTTTCTGTCATAAGAAGTAATAGAAATCTATACATCTACCAGCGTCAGAATCGGACGCGTCGTCTTCTCCATCTCGTAGATGTTTGCACATGGGTCGAGCTGACGACGGCTTGCCCAAACGTCTGCGGCTGGGCAAGGTGATTAAGCTATGATATTCTGATCATGACTGAGAGTTTTCCCTGCCCGCTCGATATGCCTTTGGGTTTGTACGGTGATTTTTCGTGGTAAAACATTGCTGCCGTTGCCTTTCTTCGCTCACTTTGCTTAGAACGCTTGCTTTGTCTCCAGTTTCTGTACGTTTATTTGGTCTGGGCTCTTCCATTGTTAGCTGATTTGCCACTGCACTTTAGTATGCCTTCAAGAGTCCCTTCATTTATTTAATTATTATTGATGGCTAACTATTTTTAGCCGGGTATAGGGGCCCGCAACGAAATGATGTTCGGCCAATGACTGAATTGATTAGAAAAGCGGAGGAAATTGAGGTATACGTAAACGGCTTCTTTTTGCGATAAAAGAAAGAAGCTTCGTTGCTATTAAACGCCGACTGAATTTTAGGACAGTAGAAAGCACCGGAACGTCCTTACATCGTCAAGTAGGATGTACCTATTAACAATGTACCCATACGAATGAGCAACAACTGGTTGACTCTGTGCAAGAAATCTGCACTTTGGAAGAGTCAGCATGATCGACGATCGGTGAAATATGGCCACCAAAGTATCACATCCTATGTTTCGGCCGATATTAAAGGATGATCATCTAGATGATGCGCAAGGGCACCGCGCGTAGCAATGACATCAACTAAAGTCGGAAAGATCGTTCTAAAATACTGACATAGGGACATGTTTTGCGCTGACTTGGGTGTCATAAAGGGAAGCCACAGATGCTGATCATAGCATTATGTCCTGGCAGGCCATACACAGACGAATCCAGTACTTGAATTTGCAAATATCTTAAATTTGCATGCATTTTGCCGTCATGAAAAGGCATCTTGTATTCTATGTTTCGTCAAGCTTTTACTCGCCCAATACGTTTTTAATCGCCTCGAGCATTTGGAAAATGGTAGCTCTCACATCATCATAATGAGGCACATTGCAGAGGCTCCTCTCATTGGGACATTATTGCTGCCAATAGATTTACCGAACCAGCTTAGCAAGGATGGTAATAGACATCTTTACCATTTCCTAGTAAATAAAACTAATTACGAAAGACAGCATAAATATCAATACTCTTAGCAGTGATTACCTGCTGCAATTATTGCGGTCGTTACAAAGATTGTCGCATTGTGCAGATGTGCGTAAATCAAAGTCTAGCGGCTACGCAAGCGAAGGTCTACTAAAACGAGGGGTTCGGTAGCCCCACCACCCGTAACGGCAATGCGACAGATGGAAAACCTATTTTAACAGACGCCGTTCTCACTGATTGATTTTAGATCATTGTCTTTGTTGTTAACGGAAAAGCTTCTGCAGTGTTTGGTATGCTTACCCGCCTATTTTCTTCGCTATCAGTACACGTACGTATAAACGCAAAGCGACGCGTTCCGTTGTACTTTCAATCACAAATCGACTATTTCAGTGATTTTATGGAACGAGTAGTTACGAGATTACTGTTAATTGATTGAATGTTTCTAACGTTCAAAAGATCCACTCGCTCTTTCAATTGACGTACAACGCAAACATGGACAAATGCAGGCAAACGTCTTAGTGCCTGCATCCTGTTCCTGTGACGATCCTATTCGACCATTTATAGATTCGTGCATTTCTCCGACTGGAATGAATGCTCTGAAGAAACGAGTTGTTTCAATGACTGAACTATTCGAATCAAAATGTATGTATTTTTTTGAAAATTTACATTTGCCCCCATATTTATATAGCCCGAGTAAACTGGTGGGAGATTTTAAGCACAAAATAAAAGATTCTTGATAGCTAGTCCAATAGCGATGATGGGCAGGCTGCTCTGTGGAACATATTGAAATAAGCGTGTTCCGCTCTTGACTTGAATTGCTTCATGGTAAAAATTCAACCATAATCAACAACAACTTATTCGAGACATAGTTTTTCTTATTGATCGGCATTGATCGCTGCCTGCTACAGTAGCTCGCGAAATGCAGCTGGCCACATCATCCAGAAACAACGAAAATCCATTGGTATCTTCAACTGTTTACGCTCAAAATCTCAGCAGTCAGCTGCGACACACAGAGGGGTGTGCCTACAATAACAGATGGTCTTTCTTTTTGTTCTGTTCTGTGTTGCTTTCCCGCAATTCGTGTGTGCGAAAAGGTGCCAAGGAAACTCGATTCGTTTCTCAGAATTATCAAAAGACATTTCGTCCCCGCTTTTTGAACAGATAGCATCATTTTTTTTTTCTTTTCAATGTAATATATGGTACTATGAACAACACCCACACCAACATTTTCATTAGTAGTGAGCGCGCTTGAAACCGAGCAGAAGACACCCGGACCTAGCTAGCAATGATGAGCGTGAAGATAAATATCATATCTATATCTATGCATATGTATGGTTGGAACAAGCATGCACGATCACCGACGCAGAGGTACGCTTAGCAGCATTTGACATGCACAGGGCGCCGGACATTAGTAAAGCTGAGATATGCTGATGCGGCTTGGTCGGAAACTACAATCACAACAACGATGGATATGTCGTTTAAAAAGAAAAAAACGTTCTGTGTAGCCATTCGCTCTTCTTTTGCGTTCTACCCGCGACACGTTCGGCGACAAACAGAAAACGTCGAAAATAACGTGGCAGAGAGGAATCGTGTCCGAATAGTCAGAATAGAAAATTTCTGTCTCGACTGATGTCGCTGCTCCTAAAGTCATCGCCGCTACGATGTCCACAGTTGCTATGATTGTACGGTTTTCAGCAGAATAAAAATTTTATTTTCTATCTTCAGTGACCGTATTGAGCGTTTTCGAGAAGATGAGAGCTTGGTCTACGAACGAACAGCTGTGGCGTTGCTATTGGATGCGTCATAAGCTGGTTCTGGATCCATTTCTACAATGGGCTTCTACGGATGCTGATTCATTCGAGACAAATTATTGGTTGTCATTGGTGTATTGGTTCGCCGTGGTGAGCGGCATAATGATCGCTCAATGATGGCCTGGAAGTGGTAACTTGTGCCGGCATTCATATCTATACACAGTGACGGAGTAGACGCGTATCTAGCCTGGAGATTGGAGAGTGGTATCGCTCGTAAAGGAGAAACCCTAAAAGTCAACAGGCAGCTCGGGTCTTAGTACAGTGCTTAATAGTAACTGCCTCTTAAATGACGCACTTCTTTTCAATTTAGTGATCGAAAGAGATCAAGTCATTGGAATATTGCTTTTTTAATGGAAAATTTAAAAAAATAGAAAGGTTTTTGATGTGACCACACTACAAACGCAACCCATATACCTATCGCAATAAGAAGAAGTACATGAACCAGGAGCGGCTATATAGCGTAATCCGATAATTGCTTTATCCTTAGAGGAAGCAACGACCTATGGGCTATAATTAAAGAGTATTCGTAGACATGGTTCCCATCCCACCTTTTCTAAGGCGCGTCGGGTCTTTGTAACATTGACGATCGCATACTGTTCCTTTAAGACAACCTATAGAATATACAAAAGTCGTGTTCGTCGTAGAATTTTCGTTAGCACAACGCTAATAGGTCCCAAAACTCAACTTCATGTAAAATAGAGACCTAGCCACTTGGAGATTAAGATGTCAATTCGCTTAATATTATATGGTTACAGCCATTCCTTTCTTCATCGCATTATCAGCGAGTAGCATAAATTATCTATATGATGTTTTGATGATCACTTTGCTCCGATAGAAAGGACACCATAAGGACACTATACCTTCTGCCACACATTCTGCCGCTGGTAGCAAGACGTCATAGGAGAAAGTGTTGACGTGTGCAAATGTGAATACGTGTATTGAAATAATGACTATATATAATAATATAATAATAATAGAAATTTATTCACAGAGATTGCCAATCGAAGCTCTGTTGAGCTACTTCCGCGTAATCAACAGTCACGATCACTCAGGATACGGGGAATACTGTGCCGAACCGATTCATTCGGCGTCATCGTAATCAGTCGATTATGCAGTAATTTTCCTGAGCAAGAAACGCGCCGAAACTGCAAATCTCGTGTGAACTGAAAGCTCCAGCGGTCGGATTGGCCTAAGTTTGATCAGAGGAAGAAGCTGCCGGCAGACAAGCAAACCCATTCATAAACAGTTCCTACAAGTACTCACTTATTTGCAGCTGTTATCTAACATGACGGGGGTCGATCGATTAAACGGGAGAATCATTATCGTGCTGATCAATCATCCGCCGACGATACCTAGAATCGCCCCAAGTTAAAATTGCTCCCAATTTAACGCCGATGCTCGCTCTTCGATTGTACATAGATACTATTATTACGTCACAGTTAGCGGTGTAATGGTGCTATTATAACTATTATAGCCATCGCCCCTTTTACTATTGTTCTGTAATAACTGCAGCGCTGCCGGGCTTCGAAGAAACTGATGGGCAAGTCACTTCGTAGAAAACCGTTTGTTTTCACGAGCAATCGTTGGATGAAGATAGTCGTCTGCTACTGCAATTTATGCGTTTCTGCAATTCGGTGTATGTATGTATGTATGTATGTATGTATGTATGTATGTCCATCAAGAAAAAAAGTCCCTGTGTAGCGAACATTCGTTAAAACGTCAATAATGATACTTCTGCGTTAGCTCTGGTCTGCACAGCAAATATCATATCATAGTTAAGTTCATATAGATTATATTTTCGTTCTGGATATTTTTCCATTTTGGCACGGAGTCAAAAAAATGCGCAAGTCTCAAACGGTTCTAGTTAATCTACAAATGTTATTGTCACTCGTATAAAAAAATTGCCGGTTCACTAAACGCCACCTCGCGCAGGCAAAGGCACCGGCTATTCAACTGTTCGTCTACCCTGACTACCCCAACATCAAGTCTACCCCGACTTTCCGTCATCCCACCAACAGCGTTCCCATGCATGACGCCTTACGCGGTCCATGACGGTTCATCATCGTTTTTTATTCCTACGGTCTGATCCTGATTACCCATCCCCCGTGCCCGGACAGTCAAAATACTGTCATGCACGTAGAAGTTGAAAAATTGACCAAATTGGTCGAAGTGACAAGCATTATAGTGGCGCGGACGCGTGTGACTATCCGGTATGCGATTTCGCCTGCCTAACCATTTTTTGGGGGCAGACGATATAATGTGCATTGGTATTTTCCCGCGTAATTTTCTCCTCCAGCCGCTACCTGGCAAAATAACAATCATCATCATCATCGACGTGGTCGTCACGTTTATGACAACAGTGATACGAATTACAAAAATACAGCAGTTCGCTCTCACGTATGAAAGCCCAGGTCTGTTCATGTAAAACTAGGCATTACTACGCGTGAGTATTAACCGACGCGGTGACGCGTCCAACATTGTGGCTCCATCGTGATGGAACAAAGAGACGGAAAAGGAAAAAAACAGCTGTGGGAAAAATGGCGAAAGCAAGTATTAGCTACCAAGAACTGTTTAGTCAGCGGGTCTGCCTGATCCGCTGGCTTGTCCGAGCACCGACAAAATCATTTAATAAATGTCTAGCTAAAGCGTACTTTCGTTAAATCTAGGTAGTTCTCTGTAATTGTCCACTTAGGAAAGAAACACGTTGATAGTTTCGTCTTCCACCGGTAACGTGCATATGACTTAGTTTGTTCAGATCTGGGGAACTGTATGTTAGATTGTATTTATACATAGTGTTTTATTTAGTGATAAGCGTATGTTTGTGTGTATTGGCGTGAGTATGAATGGCCAGCGACATTCCGCTGGCCATTCATAGTAGAGAACACAATGCTTGATTTTCCCCTTGTTGATACTCTGAGCTGAGAGAGCAATTTTCTTCCACTTAAGCGAAAAATTCGCGAGATTGTCATCATGATTGTAGTAACCGTTCCCAGCAGCGAAGGTGCGTAGAGGATTCACGGCCAAAAACCCAATGGACGCTGCGAAACGCTCTAGTGAACTATGCAACCATCGCTGCTCAATGGCCACGGTAACGCCTCGACATAAATTAAGAATGAGACATTTCGTCATTTATTTAAAGGTAAAGAGAGAGCAGCCATTGTCTGTGGATTTCTAAAAGTTCGTGTGTGGTGTGCTATGGAGATACGAAAATAAGATAGGAGGATGTCAGGCTTGTGACATCCTGGAGGGAGTCCAGAAACTAACTCAAAGAGAAAAGTTCGGAACTCGAAACCAGAAAACGTCGGATCCTGCATATTCTCAAATTTTATACCAAACGATACGTGATTTCAATAATCGACCATGCAACACATCAATACAGTGATTGGACTTGTGAATTTGTCTCTCCCACAATCTAGCCATAGCACACGGTAACGGAAACTAAACGATCACTGTCATACAGAATCAGCCATGGAAACGGAAAAAGGTTAATATAGTATAACAAGTAACTAAAATCAGTCAGTTTTCGGCTGTTTTAAAAATATCTTACCTTACTTAAGAGTTTAGCAAATCTTACTTTCTTTAGACGCTCTAAGGTCTTTTTTTTTTTTTTAAATATAATTCCGTTATGTATTTTGGCAAGTTTTTCTACTATTTCATCAATGATATTTGTATGATTGCCCTATGCTTATTATTGTACCACCAGCAGCAAAAATGAGAAGGTTAGCTATAATTAGTTAGTATTATTATCCTGTTCGTACCATATTCTTCTATTGAAACGGTTCGTGTTAGCTCAGCCAAGATTTCCCATAAACTAGCAACAGATTAAAGCACTTAGCGGGTCACACACTGCCGACAGCCAATAGCTTCTATCGGCTCACACGTGATATCGCCGGTCTTTATGTTGCGGCAGCTTTTCCAATATCAGAAACGTTCTAGTATTTCTCCCGCGCTATAGCATATTTCCTTGAGTTTTGAGCTTCTAACGATAATCATCACATAGCAGTACCGAGTCACGCTTATATCCTCTTAGAAAAAATGCCTTAGGTAAGCTTGGCTAAGTTCCCTTTTTATTACGAAATTTTATTCAGAAACACGTTTAAGCACGTGATTATACCGGTGTCATAATTCTAAGCCGTAAAAACGAAACCACTAAAGATTTTTATTTTTTTATCCTTTCAGGTAAGTGTTCCTGCGTAGTGAACATGAATGTATATGTACACGCACTGTAAACAGCTGATCTGTTCCTACTTAGCATCTGAACGCAACGCGGTAGCCGACGGTGGCAGACGACCATAACGGTATTACACTAAAGGTTCAATGATAATAACACGAGTTCAATTCGAACTAGAGTATGATCTCTGTGCACGATCAGCTGTTTAGGATAACATCATTGGAAATAGATCACAACAGCAAAAACGTGCATTAATCAAAATTTCGGCTATTTTTTTTTTAGCCTCGTTTGTGCCAAACATTTGTTCCATAGAAATCCTCGTTATCGATCAGTCAGCCTATATTTAACAAGCGACACATATTCTACATTCTGGAAATTCTCATCTCCTATGAAATCTTTTTTCCTTTACATATACTGCACGCCAGACGCTAAACGGAGTGCCTCGCTGATAACTACCCAGCCTGCAACCGAGTTCGATCCGCTCACTTTATAGATCACTCTACTTGATACAGTCATAATCCACGCCATAACCATAACCAGCGAACTGTTGCCTTTGTTACTTGCTCCCTCCTCCTTTGCATTTCATCACGCATGCATATCGTGCTAGCAGTGGCCATTCTGCAAGCCTTTTCCGGTCAGAGGCCTTCGATCAGCCCGACACGGCCCCTAATCTATTCAGGATCTAAATATAGCTCTGTCTGGGCATGATAGTCTATGTAGTTGTCCAATGGTTACGATCACATTGAAAACCGCCTACATTGTGATAATGAGCCTTCTCTATTGGTCGCTTTGTTAAGAGCTAAAAGAGCGACTATTCTCGGTTCCATCTTTAGTATCAGAAAATAAACGCCTCGATAGCTATACTGGCAACTTACACTAAGTAGCTATGTATGATGACACCTGTCAGTCTGAGCTTCTCAATCAATTACTGAGTCAGTCCTGTTAGAGCTTCGGGCTTCCTACGTATGTCTGAAGGATAGCTGAAAAGCTGGTCATAGAGTTTGACCGAGTCTACCGCTGAAGTCGATGAGTAAGCTGCTCTTCAGACCGCACTTAGCAATAATTCTGGTACCGCTGTTCAATTCAGCTTTGACCGATGGACGCATTATGAATTGTTGTTATCTACACTCTAAAATGAATGCCAAACCATTGTCGAGACTGCATAAACAAGCATTTCGTCAAATGTTATACACGTAATAGAAAAAGAAGAACAGAATCAAGAAAGACCTGAACTAGGTGGTCGAAAGTAAGAAGCAATGCGCCGACGAACCAACTTCAGGCGTCCACGTTTTCTGCGATGGGTCAGAATTGGCATCGCTCTTCTCACGTCCGCCAGTACACACGTATGGGTATTGCGAACGGTATCTTGTACGAGGTGTGGCTTGAACATCAGCCAGATGAGTTCAGCTACAAAGAAGGGATGAACGTGTATGAATGAGATGCTATATCGAAGCCACTGCTGCCCTAGGAATTGGAGAATACTTGGGACGCTCGGGGATCTGTACTTACTAGCTGATTGACTACCGGTTAGAATAGTATTAGAAGAGCTCGGACACAAATGAACAAGTCTGTGGTTCTCGTCAGTAACCCTAAATGAATACGCCAAGATCGTTTTTGATGCTTATCGCCAAAAAGGGATATGACGAGGAAATATATAAGAGTGAAAAACAGGCAAACTGTTCTTTCTAACATTTAAATATACTCGCTAGAGGTTTTTACGAACCTTGGAAATGGCTGACATGCGTTGTGTCCGACCATTGGCATAAGTGTTCGGGATGCTACACGAACATTTCAAGGCTTTGGTATTATTCGAGGGCTTTATATGAACATACGATCGTGGCAGAGCAAATACTTTGTATATATAATTATGCCGTCGCCAACAAGATTGGTTCTGTTTCTTCAGTTCTTCAACCAACGGACCGTGGTTCTATCCTCCAGGCCGCGTCGTTTTGGTTCTTATTTCTCCAAAAAGGTCGTTTCAATCTATAATCTAATGCAACAGTATTATACATCATCATATTGGTGTGCATGCTTGCTCATAAGCTACCCCATCAACAGAGGCTACATAAAAGTCACTTATTGGTTTTTCCGCTATTACCATACCACGCCGTAATTTCGTACCAGACAAGAGTTCAAGCAAACAAGCACACCCCCAGGCGTGTGGGGGGGGGGGGGCTTAACGCAGCCAAGATACGTTTATGGACACTTAATATATTCATAGCTCCGCGAGTCTTGAACCTGTGGTGTGCCACTTTCCCTGTATCTGTAAACTATATGCAGTTTCGGGAGCATATAGCACTTTCTCACTAGTATGAGCTATAGCTCGAAACCTGGCAGCGATGCGTTGTTCTGCGCATTCACTGTTGCCTCCATCTTATCTGTTGATTCTCATCGTTCAACGAGCCCGCCTGCCACTGATGTGGGCATGCTGGCCACGGCTAAAGAAATCAGATAGAAATAAACAAAAAAACACATACATGTGTGCGCGTCGATGGCGGGCGTACGAAAGAGGTACTAGAGGATCTAGGATGACGTGCCTGACTCACTCGATCCTGGTCGGTTACCATGATGAGACAAACTAAAGCAGAAGACGTACATTAACATGCGACCATGGTGCGAATTTTTTCCTAGAAAGTAGCCTAAGGTAATTGGCCAGGGTATCTGACCGCCATAGTATGAAACAGTGCTGGTAGCGAGCTAGGTGAAAGAAAACAAATTTGCTAGAGCGTTTGTATCAAATTAAGTACGATTTATTAAGTTACACAAAATGAGAGACAGCTAAGAAGAAGACAGCTAAGCTAAGATTAAGCGGTTCAGTTTCAGTTTAACTTCACTAGACGTTTTCCACATCCCGATGAGTCTTTTGAATCCTTCAACTAGTAAATTATGATCCCGCTGTCGCTAAGGGCAAGGCATAACGTAATACAGCGCTAAAACACCTACATTCGCAGAAATTAAATGAATGAGGTCGTCATAAAAATGCGTCGAAAAAACCTTTCAGTGTACAACATGAAGCCCTGCTTGAGTCAGTACATTAAGAAAACGTATTTGTGATCAGGGCTCGACAAGAAAATAGGACCGAAATAAAAAGGCGATCAAGATCCACTAACCATATTTAACAATAACAGTTATTTTGTTATTTTAATTTCGTTAGCATTACCTCAAAAATAGCAACAACTATTTTCCTTCTTCTAATTAAACCTTCACAAACTGTATTCAAATACCTAGATAAAGTTTGCTACGTAGAATGGTTTCGCTCTTTAGAAAAAATACATGTGATTGAGACCGCTAGTTATAAATTATAAAGACAGGTACAACAAAATTGTCATAAAAGTGGTGTTAATTAATTTATTCAGAAAATTGATTACGTGAGGACTTTTATTAGCCCAAAGATAGATCTTCCAGTATCATCGTTAGCGTCACTAATTTACAA